GTAGATAATAAAAGAAAAATAATTAGAAGATTACTACTGAGCTGATAAGTTACTCTATCAGATAATAATTTTTAATAACACTAACTTTCTAATTTGAAGAAAATCATGCAAAAACAATTATATATCAGTACTCTGATTTTATAACTCTTATCTGATAACTTCTGTGAATAATTACTTTATATATATATATCTCTGAATCTTTCTCTTTAATCAATTAAAAATCCTGAATTTCAAACACTTCTTCAAATACTTAATTCAAATCTTCATATTTCACATCAATTCTGTCTTCAGTTCAATCTTGAGATATACTACAAAGTTAATATACAATATCTAGAATCAGAGTTGAAGAATCATTGAAGAGTGTCTCTTACAGTAAATGTATAAACTAGTACAAATAATCTTACATTTATAAGAGTTATATATTATTATATTAATAAGAACTGAACTTATTAAGAGATATTAATTAAATTTAAATCATTAATCAGTAGTCATACTAAGAATTATATAGCAGAGATATTAATAACTGTGATTAAAAATGACTATTGAGATATTAGTCTCAGTCTTCTTACAATTATAACTGATAATACTTTGAATAACTATACTATAATAAAGAGCTTGACGCAAAAATTGACTTTGTATTTCTAAAATAATAAACAAGGTCATATTCTCTGCATTGCTCATGTGATTCAACTTGTGATATAAAAACTGATAAAGAATCTTAATATTGAGATGAAGAATAATGAGATGACTGATTCTTGAGATAAGAATAAGATAAAAGTAATTACTCAAGTAACTTTTATATTCACTTTACAAAAGATAATGTTTTTTGACAATACTTTTTAATATTACTTTTTGATAATACTTTTTAATAATACTACTGTTAATTTTGAATAGATTGACTAATAATTTAAATATCACAGATTTAAAACATTACTAATATAATTTGTATCTTCTCTAAATAATAACAATGATTTTATAATATTCAATAAATAAATAAATCAGTCATATCACTGAATATGATACAGAATATTAGAATATAGTGAAGTTCAATATATAAGATGACTGTTCAGACTTTTTGATTATATCAGATGATTGATCATTGAGTGCAATACTCTGATTAAGAAAAGATTCAGATATTGAAACTTTCTGATATAAAGTAAACTTAGTTAAAATATATTATTGATTTACTGTTTCAGTTTTATAAGATAATAAAGACTAGACTGGCCGGCGGGACCATGAATTTCACATTTGGTCTCATTTGGTCTGGTTTCATACATTTCTTGGCGTGAGTCTCACCAGGACCAAGCCTCAAAAAAATCTGAAAATGGATCATTTCTGAGAGAAATAGTGTGAAAAATGACCAGATTTAATTCAAGAACAGTGAAATGAGAGTAATTTTCCAGGATAAACTGTGAAAGATGATCATTCTTTCAAAATCAGAATGAGACTGAGACTGAAGATTAAAATCAGTCTCATTCAGTTCATTCAGTGATTGCTTATATAATCAGAATTTGATAACAATTATTGATAACACTCATGAAACAACTAAATACATTCTTGTGCAAGTTTATTCTTCACTTTCTTATGAAAACTACACTTCTCTGATATACTGTGATCAGAGGTATTAAACTGTCTGATAATTCCATGTTTTACAATCATGAGTTTCTTGATTATTTCTTCTTATAATTGTCCTCAGTGATAGTGATAAATATCTTGACTTGAGTTGAACTTTCACTTCATTCTCATCCCTGTCAATGAAATTGTCAGAATATCATGTGCCATCAGTGCAACAGTTGACTCTCAACAATTTTTCATAACTCTAGAATTGATTTAATGTATAAATTCATCAGATCATCTTAAAGATAGCAATCAAATTCAGTTTTACAAGCATGTAATTTTGCCTGATTTTCAGTTGTAATTAATGTATGCAAGTTCTGTTTCAAAGTGAGTATTATAGTTCTATGTGATATAAAGCATTATCAAAGATTGTTACTTACTAGGAAATTATATTCCACTGTCTTCACATCTTGAACATCTGCTCATTCAAATCTCTGATAGTTAGCATTGTAGTAGTCTCAGACTAATTTGACATATGAGTCTCATTTCTTCTCTGTTCAATCTTAAGAAGTGTAGATATTAACTCAACAGAAGAAATCTAGTAGAGCTGCTACAGTATAGTACTCTGTAAAAGATTGTTTCATTTTGCTATAGTAATATGCCAGTTTATCCCTTACAGTAACAATAGCCTGCACTATAGTATTATCTCAGACTGAATTTCTTTTTGAGTGATTCAACTGCTTCTCAAGATAAGTAAATAAACTGTTATACACTCACCAGGCTGACTGCAGCATTGGTGTATAAGTGATTGAGACTGTCTTTATTATCTTATAAAACTGAAACAGTAAATTAATCACATATTTCAACTGAGTTCACTTCATATCAGAAAGTTTCAATATCTGAATCTTTTTCTGATCAGAGTGTTGCACTCAATGATCAATTATCTGACATAATCAAAGAGTCTGAACAGTTATCTCATATGTTGAACTTCATCATGTTCTAACATTCTGTATCATATTCAGTGATGTAACTGATTTGTTTATTTATTGAATATCATGAAATCATTATTATTATTTAGAAGAGGTACAAATTGCATTAGCAATGTTTCAAATCTATGATATTTAAATTATTAGTCAATCTATTCAAAATTAACAGTAGCATTATCAAAAAGCATTATCAAAAAGCAATATTAAAAAGTGTTGTTAAAAAACATTATCTTTTGCAAAGTGAATGCAAAGTTACTTGAGTAATCACTTTTATCTCATTCTCATTCAAGAATCAGTCATCTCATTATT